TTTCAACCTGAATATGTTGTTATTATGCATCCTCCGCAACTCTAAAACTGGACACGGAGGACTCTCGCTATTGCTTCCAGCATACATGCTTATGGAAAGCTGCTTATAGTCGGAATCCATGTCCATTGATGAAGGTCCTGGCGCAGGTAGGCTAATTTCTTTCGGAATTGGGTTCGGCAGTAGGAGGGGAAGTCGGACTGGTTTTTTTGGACTCTCTACTTTAAGAAATGGATCCTCTAAAAGCTCCTTCGCAGACAATCTCTCAGATGCTCGAACCAGACATTTCTCGATGAACTCCTTTATTTGTGGTTCGGCAACCTTACTCAGGGAAGCAGGTTTAACACCCTGAATGCAATTCACCAAAATATGTAACAGAAGTTAACAAAAACAAAGACCAAGATAAAAACAGTTGCGTGAGGTACTTACGGATATAACTTTCTTATAGATCTGTGCTGGATTTTTGCATTCGTTATATGGATACTCTAAAGTAACCATCTCTAACATACACATTCCGAAAGAGTACACATCTATCAGTTCATTATATTCCTCTTCATAGAGCTCAGGAGCCATAAATTCAGGGGTACCTGATGAACAAAGAAATTTAAAAAAATGGTTATCATTAACTTAGTTAAATCTAGTGCAGCATTTTGACAATAACTATTCAATTACCGATAACACTCCGAGCAGTTGGCTGCTGCATGACTATTGCCAATCCAAGATCACCTATTTTGATTTCTCCATTGTTCCCATTAACAAAAATATTTTCACACTTCAAATCCTTATGAATAATAGGGGGGACATGAACATGAAGATATACTCGCCCAGTTCTTTATCGCCTTCGTATCGACATGTTTATGTTTCTTCCCATATCTGATATCGAAACGACAAAATTACTTCATGCAGAGCAAGACTTAACCAGAAAGAATCAAAATTAAAACGACCAAGGACTGTGCATACATCCTGAGACTCCCGGATGTGAATAGCTCGGTGATCATGTTAACAGTTTTTTTCTTGTCATCCACCCATGAATTGTATAACTTGATGATGTTCTCATTCTTCAATGATCTCAGGATATGAACTTCAGAGTACAGTTTTCCAAATCTTCCAGCGTCCGCAATACGTCGTTGATCCTCACTTGGTTCCAAACAACTTCTATTCCATCAACTTCATCAAAGGCCCTAAAACTGCAGGCATTGCAAACAAAAACCCTAATGGTAACCACTAAACAATCATTGAAACAGTAAATCCATTCTGTTGCTAGACCAGAGGAGATTAAGAACCATACACCGTCTTAAATGCACCCTTGCCCAAGACATCAAACTGCAACATAAAAAGGAACAAATTTATATCAAAACAGGAAACATTTTCCCAACATTACATTGCTAACTTGTAAATAGATCCATACCCTAATGTAACGACCAGTAGAATCTCTTTCCACGACACCGGGTTCTTCTTCAGAAGTATAATTCATTCCATCATTGGCTGGCATTTCCAAACCTAACCCAAAATTCATTCCTGCTTAAGAACCAATTAAACCACCCAAAAAAACGAGGAAAATTTTGTATTTTTCTTCCTTTTTCTTTTTCTCAAAGGGATTGGAAATAAGCAATGCAAGAGTCAGCTGTTAAAGAACCAAGATGGGAAAGTAACGATAACGTTGTCGTTGCTATTGGTGGTCTGAGAAAGAATCGAATGCCGACTGAGAACGGAACCGGCATTCGATCACGACAACAACGACGTCGCTTCGAGGCAATGAACCGCGTTCACAATTCATAACCTCAAATATCTTGTTTTGCAATCCCCTCATCTCTTTACACCAAACCCATTCTCCCCAATTCCATTATTTGCTTCCCCCCAAATTTTATATTCTTAAAAAAAGGCAACACGAATTCTCTCGCAACAAAACAAACCAAAAACAAAATGGAGAATGCAACTTGTACGGGTTTGATTATCCAATTCTGCGACCAAAGTTGACGTTTAGCCGTGCCGCCTCTTCTCTTTTCCATTTGGTGGGTAACTGCCCGTCACTGCCGGGTTGCAACGGATTGGATTTTGAATTGTTTTGAAACCGCGCCGTTTTTAAGCTATTTTAAGCGCTCGTACAAGTTGCAATGATAAATTATTAAAATAAATAAATTAATTAGCACGAATCAAGTAATCTCGGTGATCAATAAATTATTGATATTAATGTTAAATGGTTAAGAGTTATCTTTGAACATATACTATATTATATTTATCTCATATTAATAAAAAAAACTAACTATTAAATTTAGGGATGAACAAAATTTGATTTGTTTGCTTTCAATCAAATTTGCAAGTCGTGAGGAATCAATTGAATATGTTTTGCGTTCTTGATCGGTGACGGTAAATATTATTGGTCAAAATTGATCCGTGACTCTAAACGGGATGTGTTTTTTCACGTCTTTTGAAACTTAGTTGATGACAAATTTACGTGCTTGAGGTGATTTTATTGTTGTTAAAAGTAATTGGAATATCCTTTTTCCAACTATTATTCGGCAGCTTTGGAAGCATCGTTGTAATGTTTTGTTTGAAAAACACTTTGTCGAGGAGGATTTGTTGTTTCGCTCTCGTTGTTTAGCTGAGGAATTTAAAGCAAGTAATGCAACCGCAATGTCAATGGGAGTGGTGGGTCACAATCTATGAATGCTGACAACTTATGATGGAATAAACCTCCTGCTGGTTAGGTTAAGGCGAATGTGGATGGAGCTTGTAATTTACAGAGCAACGATGCTGCCGTGGGTGGCATCCTCCGAAATAGTCAGGAGATTGGTTGTCTGGGTTCACTAAAAGTTTGGGTAAAGGTTCAATCCTTGTGGCTGAATTATGGGTTGTTTTTACCATGCTCTCTCATGGTTGGCAGATGGATTTTCGTCGAATTGAACTTGAGTCGAATAATATGGAAGTTGTTCGGCTTCTTAACAATCGTTCCACCAGCCAAGTAAAGGATTTGCTAGTAGAGGAAACGCTGGAGCTGCTGTCTGGGAAGTGAGAATTAGCTTTGTCCGACGTAACTTCAAATACGTTAGCAGCATTGTTGAAGATTTTGGAACCTCACATGCTACTCAGTGCGTAGATCCGAGTGGATAGGATAGTTGAAGATTTTGTTTTGTTTCAGATTTTATCGAGTTTGAGTGATCTCGTTTGTTTGATTATGTTTATCTTGGTGAGCTTCGCTTGTAGTCAGATTTTTATTCTTAAATTCGAAATTTTATTTTTGTATAACCATCGATGTACGACTTATTAATTGACTAATTCATATCAGATACTATATAAATCCGATATGTGAATTAATATGAACTCTTGACAAAATATGACATGGCTCATTTGAAAATAATTTTTAAATTATAATCGGACAATTCTATAAATAAATAAATAAATATTATAATGATATCTATAATTTAATAAATAATCTCAAAAGATAAATGAAAACAATGTCCAAACAACCGAAAAACATGTCAAAAATTATAAAAAATCGCATCATAAAAGCTGATAAAAATGTATATCATACAAGTAGACTTATTGAATATAAAAAACAAAAGAAAAGACATATGTGATATAAGAAAACAAAAGGATAATAAAAAATATCGACGATCGGTAATTAATATAAAGTTGATATCGCTGCCGATCAGTAAAAATAAAAAAATAAACCACGTACCGATGAGAGAAAACTTCTACTTACTTTTTTTATAAGCAAAGAACAAGTAAATACATTATGGATGAGGGCTAGCCTCTTTAATTAATTTGTTGATAATCACATATATGTAACATTTCTAATTACTTCTCAAATTAATTAATTTGTGGATTGCTTATTTAGTGTCCAAATATTCGTGGTTGGAAATTAGTTTTGAAAACTTTCAAATTTATGATAATGTTTAATCTTAAAGATTGTGTTTCTTTCTGATAGTTTATTTATATAATGAAGGGAAATCAAAATGTAATATACATTAATGTAAAATTAAACGAGATTTATGTATTTTTATATAAAAAAATTAACCGTTAAATTTAATGTTTTATTCACGTGGATTATACTCGTTAGCTTTTGAGTAAATTAAAAACTTTAATCATAAAGTTTTCAACAATTGAATATATACCAATATATATTATTTTGAATCGACATGATAAAAATATTAGATTAATTTAAAAATCAATATGCACGACAAGTGTAATTATATTAATAAATTCAAGACTTTAATCGTTAAAATATTAATCATAGAAAAATGTGTGAACATGAGTGGAACTCAATTATTTTATAATAGTAGAAGTATATCCTCCTTTTTTAATTGCTTATCTTGATTTTATTTAGGTAGAGAAAGAAATATAATTACTACGAAATTGTCAATTATCTTTTGAACTAATTTTTAGTTTTCCAGTTTGTGATTTGATCACTAATCGTTTGTCCATTTATCCCATTCCCGTTGATGGTTGGCTGGTAACCTGTTTATTTGATAAGAAACCAAAGCATATGTAATCAGAAACGTAACTAATTTAGTAATTATGCTTATAAGCACAAACAACCCATCATTTTATTACACATGCATAACATAGTACACGTACACTTTTAGATACGTTGATTTTTAAAACAGGTATTGTTGTAAGATTCAGGATTTCTAATGATCGTTTCATGGTATGTTCTTAGCCATAAACAATCCACAGAGTTTAAACATAAACTAAAAATGTGTATTGAAATTAACGATCTAAGTAGTGATCGACGGATGATGGGCATATTTCAGTAGATTGGCTTCACACGCATCTGAAAAGGGGTGGTCGTACTCTTTTTCCGCAGAGTGTGATTATGTACGTAAGGTAAACGTTAATGGAGGAGCGGTACTTGGGTGGGAGTGTATCTTTGAGATAATCACAAAGGCATCGAGTAGCTTCAAGATCAGTGAAACCAATGGCGGCGCAACATGTGCTGTTTGGGTTTGGCTTTGGGATCGAAACAATAGGAGGTACAGTGGTCACATTACGAATGCAAGTATTTACGTTTGGGGTATTTCTATTGCAGGTAACTGGTGGAGGTGGAGGTGGAGGTGGAGGGGGAGGTGGAGAGGGAGGGGGAGGAGTAGGTGGAGGGTAGGAGGTGTACGTGGAGGGGGAGTAGGAGCAGGGGGAGGGGGAAGAGGTGCGCTAGGAGGGGGAGTAGGTGGAGGGGTAGGAGGTGTATGAGGAGGGGGAGTAGGAGCAGGGGGAGGGGGAAGAGGTGCGCTAGGAGGAGGAGTAGGTGGAGGGGTAGGAGGTGTACGAGGAAGGGGAGTAGGAGCAGGGGGAGGCGGAAGAGGTGCACTAGGAGGGGGAGTAGGCGGAGGGTTAGGAGGTGTACGAGGAGGGGGAGTAGGAGCAGGGGGAGGGGGAAGAGGTGCGCTAGGAGGGGGAGTAGGTGGAGGGGTAGGAGGTGCACGAGGAGGGGGAGTAGGAGCAGGGGGAGGGGGAAGAGGGCGTGAGGAGTGGGAGTAGGAGCAGGAGGAGGGGGGAAAGGTGCACGAGGAGGTGGAGTAGGAGCAGGGGGAGGGGGAAGAGGTGAGCTAGGAGGGGGAGTAGGTGGAGGTGGAAGAGGTGTACGAGGAGGGGGAGTAGGAGCAGGGGGAGGGGGAGAGGTGCGCGAGGAGGGGGAGTAAGAGCAGGGGGAGGGGGAAGAGGTGCACGAGGAGGGGGAGTAGGTGGAGGGGTAGGAGGTGTACGAGGAGGGGGGGAGGGGAGGAGGCGTGTTCGGAGAGGGAGGTTTATTCGGAGGGAAAGGTAAACAGGGCGGGAATTGTGGAGGGAGAGAAGGATTCAAAATGGGAGGTGGTGGTGGTGATGCCAATGGTCGTGGAGGAGGGGGAGGAGGACGACGGTTACTAAGAGGGGGAGGGGGACGACGGTTACTAGGATTGGGAGGTCGAGAATTTTGAGAACATACTAATGTAAAGAAAAAAAATTGAGAAAAAGAATAAAAGTTATTGGTGTTAAAGCCTTGGAAGCCATAATTGGAAGAGAAATCATAAGACTTTACTCCATTAAGTGCTTACAAGTACCTTATGTTACATGAAATGTAAGTGGTGATGCACAAGATTGAATATGCAAAGGTATTTATAGAAGAAGATAGCTACTAGAGATTTAAAGTTTTTTAGGTCACCATTGATGCATTTTGGCAAGGTTTGTACAAACATATCAAATGCAATTTGGCAGTAATAATACCTTGAAGTGAATTCTATGGCAACTTGTTAAGTTTTGTAAAATTCTTTTTCTAGTAAAACGTAAATTTTAATACATATTGGTGTAATAAGATGTATGATGTTTTCAATTGTCATCTTTGTTCATCTCTTCGTTGGAGTTTTAAATGTCGAAATATCTACAAAGAAAATAGAGAAAATATTTATATGACACACATAGTTGATACTATTTTTTCTTTTTTACTTTGAGGTTAGGTTAAACTTGGTTAGTAAAAATATTATAATTATTTTTATATGAGATAAATTTTAAATTTATACATAAATATTAAATTAACGTGCAATTTGAGATATATATATATATATATATATATATATCTTAAGTTAGTGTATAGTTATATATATAGAGTGAGAGAATCCAATTACATAGTTTAAAATTTTATAGCTGATTAATAAATCGGATACTAGTGGTTATATATAAAAAAAATTTAGTTTTACACCTTAAAATAGTTGGATGAGGGAAATCAAAGACTAAGATTAACTCATTGTTTTTCTTTTTCAATGAATATCTTCTCATTTATTAATGTTAATCTCAGCCTTTGATTTATTATCATCCAACGATCCTAAAAAGGTAAAACTAAAAAGTTTTAAACTGTGTAATTGGATCATAGCTTATAAACATATATATATATATATATATATATATATATATATATATATAGAGAGAGAGAGAGAGAGAGAGAAATAAAGGCTGAGATTAACTGTAAAAAATGAGAATATATTAATTAAGAAAAAAAATAAGGAGTTAATCTTAGCGTTGGATTGAGGGTCTTTCAGTTGCACACCTTTTTAGGGCTGTTGGATTGAGAGAAATCAAAGGCTCATATTAACTTCTTGTTTTTAATGAATATCTTCTCATTTTCTACTATTAATTACAATATTTAACTTCTCTCATCCAATGATCCTAAAAATGTTTAAAACTAAAAAAGTTTTACACAGTGCAATTGGATCCTGCCCCTATATATTTACATCTTTTTAGGACTATTGGATGAGAGAAATTAAAGGTTGCGGTTAACTTGTTGTTTTTTTAAGTGAATATCTTCTCATTTTGTATTATTAATCTCAATCTTTAATTTCTCTCATCCAATAGTCCTAAAAAGGTGTAAAATTTACACAGTGTAATTGGATCCTTCCCATATATATATATATATATATATATATATATATATAAAATTTTAATAATTAATTTATTCGTACTTGTAAGACTTCGATTTTGATTCAATTATTAATATTAATTAATAAATAAATTATATTTGTCTAATTTTTATATTAAATAAATATAATTATTAATTTATACAATTTATAGACAAAATGATCTTAGATCGATATTAATTTAAATGATTTGTAAAAATTACATTAAATCACAGATTTTATGTATATATTTACACAACATCATATCACATATCAAAATAAGACGTATATATTTTTAAGATTTATCTTTATTTGAGAAGTATATTAAGTCGGTCGGTCAAGTTCATATTTGTTCTCTCATATTTTCATAGATAATTGATTATATATCCATTACGAGCACTCTTATTCCTTTTTTAGGAGTCTTTCTTTCTCCTTTTCTCTAAGTAAGATTACGAGTAGATTTACGATTTATAAAAAATATTACCTTTAATTTTCACAAATAAAATTAATATATAGATAATTTAATTAGTATCGCATACATAATTTAATGAAATTAAGCATTTGAATTGTTGATTTGGATTCTATATTGGCACTTTCATGGTTGGCAATGAATTTTTTTTGCATGTCCTCATTGCATTTGTGTTTTTCTCTCCTTAATTTAGTGTCTTTTGTGGTTATTCTTATTTAACAATAAAATTCATTTGTGGTTAAAATGTTGTTATTATCATTCAAATTTTGAGAGACTATATATAGTTTAAAATTTTAAAGAAATTTTATATTATTATAATTTTAAAAATTATGTTCATATTTCAAAAGTTTTAAATTTTCATATATTTAAAAAATGTAAGACTCCTGGATTTGTTTTAAATTTTCATATATTTAAAAAATATCAGAATAAAATTTTGATAATGATTGAAGGTTTAAACAGAATATCAACCGCTGCTACAAAATAATTATTTTATAATATTTTAATAAATTTAATAATTATTTTATGATTTTTGAAAGTTTGTTAATTAATTAGTTAGTCTAATGGAATGAGACACTAAGTTTCTTAAGCAAGGTCAGAAGTTCGAATCCTAGCGTTTGCGAATGGAACAAACTAGGTTGGGAGGGTCGCCCTCGTCTCTACAATACATGATCTGGATTAGTCGGTCAATAGATCGAATATCAGTGATTAATTAAAAAAAAGACTACTAATGCATTCGGTTCCCAGAGAATCCGTGTATTCCTTTGGCTCATTCTTGGTTTATCCATGAGCTCAACGTGCCCTCTCTGCAATAACCAAGAGGAGTCCACTCTCTTCTAATTTGGCGTTTAACACTAAGCTTCCAAACCAGCAAATTTCATGGTCCACGTTCGCCTAGCAAATTTGGAAAAGGCGAAATTGTTTAGTGTTCACTGATAATAGCACCGGTTTACACGAGACTCTTAAGGTTAGTCTTTCATGGTCGAAACACTTTGAGAACTACTTATTCTCTTCCCACTTGTCCAGGGAATGACGACAAACTTTGCTTCAGTGGTCTCCGCCCGCGCACGTCGTTTATTGCCTCAATACGGACGCTTTGATCGATAACCATACTGGTTTTGGCGCAGCTGGTGGTGTTCTCCGTCAAAAAAATTTCAAGTTTAAGTATCAAAACGGATCAAAAATAATAATTTAACTACTAAACTTGTAATTTTAACCTAATTCTTAAGGGCGTTTCTTCACAAAAAATTATGGTAGTAATCTTTTAATAAAATTATTTTATCGTGTTCGGTTTATAAGGATTTTTTCTAATAAAAAATGTTCCGATATCAACGGTGTCGTTTTCTTTCAACAAATGGTAGAATATCATTCTCATCTAAATTTTATATAATAAATAATTTTATCATTTTAGACTAAAATACTCTCAAAATAATATATTTTGTTCATATAAATTCTACTCTTTACATTCTCAATATTTATTTAAAAACGCTCATAAACAACTCTTAAATGTCATCAATGTTGGTTTGGTATCAAACAGATTGAATAATGTAATATTTGAATGTCATTTATTGTTTTTAGTCAAATAGTTGTGACTTAAAATGTTTTTTTAATATTGACATTTTCATAAACTGAAATATAATGCCAGAAATAGATGAAAACAAAAGCATATTATACAATTTTACTTTTTACATGACAAATAAAAAATTTTCTAACTTATTAATTTTACAAACCTGTTCTCTTGGCTGTAATATTTTTCTTGTCTTTCTTTCTCTAATATATTTAATATGCATTATAATTAGTATCATATAAATATATAATATAATTTTATAATATTAAAAATATACTAAATTTTCTGAGTAAGAAAGTTATAAAAGAAAAATATAGAAATAAAAAAATTAGGTAAACAACGCATTTAGTACATGAACCATTAGTTTTGATCCGTTTTAGTACCTAGACTTTAAAAAAAATTCAAAATCATACTTAATGTTTATTTTTCATTTCATTTTAGTAATCCACCGTTAAAAACTTAATGCGTTTAATATCTAATCTATCAGTTTTGGTCCATTTTGATAATTAAACTTTCAATATTTTCAAACTTAACATTGAATTTTGAACTGAGGTGCTAAAATGAAACAAAAACTAAAATTTTTAACGATGTGGAACTAAAATGAAATAAAAACTAAACTTTAGGTATGATTTTGAAAAAAATTGAAAGTTTTAAGAACTAAAAAGAACTAAAACTGATAGTTTAAGTACTAAACACGTAATTTATCCAAAAACTTTAACATGTTATCTGAAAAATTATTTTAAAAAATGTTAAATGTATTTTCATTGAATTAGCATCGTATGAGAACAAAGTATTAAACGTCAAACTTTTAGATGTATTTTCATTGATTTTGAGTGAGCTTCGTGAAAAATTAATTCGGGGTGAAGAAAGAGAAGTGAAATGTAAACATTTTGGTATCAATCTCGTTGTGCATGACGATTGATGATGATGACCAACAATTGACCGACATCGACGGCTGAAGTAGATGTAGGGACCACAATGATACATAATCTAAAAGTTCAATGCCTAAAAAGGAAGTATTTTAATGTTTAGTGGCATAATCGGTACTCAAACTAAAGTTTATAGGGAAGAAGATGACAATGTATAGGGATGGACATAGGTCGAGCCAGAGCGGATATTTGGCTAACCCAAATCGACCTGAGTTTAGGAAAGCTCCACCTGATCCAATTTTTAACGTTAAAACCTACATTCGACCTCATCTGACATAAATATATAAATACATTTATATATATGACACAAGTACATAACAGGAAAATAATTTATAGAGGATCGTCACATTCAGTACCGAACTTGGAGGATCGATACATTCGGTACCGTATATTTTGTTGTAATGTTTGCATCTTCTAATCTGTCTTTATTTGGTGGCACAGTATATTTTGATACACTAATTTATAACGTATTTTATTTTACTATTGATGTATGAATCATTACTAAATTGATGCTTGTGTTACTTTGACACAAATTATTTGGTATTTTGTATTTACGTGTGATATCTTATATTTATATTATTGTTTTGGACATATTATGATTTTAAAGTATTAAGAATGTTTTGGATATTTTTATGCAATCCGCTAGATCTAGTCGTAACATACATGCTAGGTCTAGGGGATTACAATATAATTGGATTTGGATCTCATATTCATCCCTAACTACGTCATCAAATTGTTAACGATTTTTTTTTTAATTTTCAGTGTTATAATTGAATTCAAAATGAAGTTTATTACTAATTTGAAACATTTTAAAACTCAATAACATATTGATACAAATGCTAAAATTTATACTATATATGTCATACGGTGCTGGGGCACCTAACAAACTAGGAGCATTCTAGCAGTCCGTGCCTTGATTTAAAACAAAATGAATGAAGTACGTACATTGCATTAATCTACAGTAATACGTTCCATACTAGTTGCATTCATATTAACTCTTATTTAAGGCTATTCATGTTCCTTTAAAAGAACGACAAACTGCATTATAATTTCAAGAAAACGATAATTTTATTTTAAAAATCTTTATTCTGTGAGATTAGGTTAAAACCCAAAAAATAAATCTCATTTTCATTGTTTAGGTTTGTATTCGAAATTCGTCTTTTATCCATTTTTTGTTATTAATTATACTGTGAGCCCTATTTTTTATTGTTAATTATACTTTGTCCCCTTAAACTAAAATTCTTGCTCCGTCACTGTCTTCAAGCTTAAGTTATTTACAAAATCCCTAGTTTGTTTTCGGTTCACGTAGGTTTTGATATGAAGATGTAACTCCCCAAATTTTTGAAAATCGAATTTGATGGATTAAGTGTGATTTTCTTGACTAATTATTATTTTAATCAATTTTAAATGACTTTTGATGTAAGAAAGTATTCGATTGATTCTTTATAAAATCTGACTTGTCAAATATTTTACAAATTTATTTGTATCAAGTATCTCCTAATACTTTTGAACATTGAATGAATATTTTGAAAATAATTTTAAATATTGAATCAAGATCCTAAAGCGATTTATGTGTATATCTCAAATTAAAGTGGATATATATATATATATATTCACTTACATTATGTAAAACTCTTTTAGTTTTACACTTTTTTAGGACAATTGAATTGAGGAAAATCAAAGACTGCGATTAACTCGTTATTTTCTTCCTGAGAATATCTTTTTATTTTTATGTTAATCTCAACTTTTAATTTCTCTCATCCAATGGTCCTAAAAGATGTAAAACTAAAAAAAAAATTACACAATTTAGTTGGATTCCCATATGGATTAGGATCCACTTACACCTAGTGTAAAAAAAACTTATAGTTTTACACCCTTTTAGGATCATTAGATGAGAGAAAATCGGCTAATATTAAGTCCTTGTTTTATTTACCCGTGAATATCTTTCATTTTATACTGTTAATCTCAGCGTTGATTTCCCTCAGCCCAATGGTCCAAAAAATGTGTAAAACTGGAAAAGTTTAACACAATGTATATATGGGTTAGGATCCAATTACACATGGTGTAAATTTTTAGTTTTACACCCTTTTACGACCGTTAGATTGAGGAAAATCAATGGTTGAGATTAACTCCTTGTTTTTTCCTTAGTGAATATCTTCTCATTTCCTGTTGTTTATGTTGGGGTCGATGAAGCTCGTTCGATCAACCGAAATGTGCCAAGAGGGGGTTAATTGGGTTTTTGAAGTTTAGGGAGTACGTAGTATAAAGATAGGAAAATTTACACAATGATTTATAGTGGTTCAACTCCCTCAATGAAGTCTACATCCACTACCTAAGCTCCTCACTTATGATTTTTCAACAAAGCCACTAATTTATTCTTTCTTTTTCAAGGATAAATAGATAACTTTTACAAACTCTTTAGCTTTTCAAAGGCTAAGCTAGAACCAAAACCTCTTTACAAAGGAAAAGAATTGTAAACAAGAAAACCTCTAAAAAGGAATGTGTTTACAAATTAAAGCTCACAAAAACACAAATATTTACAAGAGAAAGAGAAATAAAGAATGAAAAACTTTTCTCTTGTGTTTGATTGCTTGGATAGGTGTTGTTCAACCTTCTTCAAGTGTTTTGAACTTGTTTTATATGTTGGAATGAGTTACTAGCCGTTTGGGAATGTTTGGAGCCTTTGGAAGACTTTCTGCACACAAAGTTTTGTAACTCTGGGAAAGAGCCATTGGAAAAATATGACCGTTGGAGTCGAAGTATCGAAACTTTAGGGAAAGTTTCAAAACTCTTGAGATAGTTTCGAAACTCTTTAGATAGTTTCGAAACTCTTGAGATAGTTTCGAAACTCTTAAAAAGTATCGAAACTTTTTGGACTATTGTCTTGGAAAGTTTTGAAACTCTTGTATAAATTTCAAAATTTCTGGTCAAAGCTTGTTTAAAATGATAGTTTTTGACATTTTGAGAAAAACAATAATTTGAAAAACATTCTAAAGTATTTAAAAGATAATTTTAATATAATTTGAACTTAAAAGACTCATTTTAAAGTTTTGATAAAGTTTAGAAACATTGAACACATATCTTTCAAATTTAGTTGGTCTTTGAATTATTTTTGAAAATTTTGAATAAATTCAGTTTAGTCCAGCAAACATTTTGCCTTTATTTGTTATATCAAAATATAAATTCTTTTGGCTTCGTGTTGGGGGTGAGGAGAGGAAAGTTTTTGGGTCCTTTTGGCTTCCTCCGGCCGCCGGCGCCACCGCAAGCTCCACTGTGGCCTTTCCTCTCCCCGAGGGGAGGGTTGAGAGAGTTTGTGACTCTTTCTCTCTTTGTTTTTCTGTGAAAGAAGAGGAATGGGGAAACGGAGAAGTAAGCTTGTTTTGGGGATTAAATACGCAACAAGAAACGACACCGTTTCGTAGCCCCCTCCACGTGTTTTCATACTTGGGGTAAATCCCCGTATTTTTGTACTGTTGTACATTGTACTTTGAATGAAATTTATGCTATTTTATTTCAAGCCTCTAGTTTTAATTATTTTATTTAATCACTAGTTTATATATTACGTTATGTTTGATGACATTCGATTTGGCCATGACATTTATAAAAAAATTATTT